CTATCACAGCGGTTCAGGAACAGATAACGTCCATTAAACACAGACTACATGGCAGTGTGTGCATTTGGATACATTTAATGCTCACAACAGCTTAGTAACTGTTCTAATTCTTCTCCTTAGGTAGATGTAAACTGAAACTGAAAATATTTTAAATGAATTTGCTCAATATCACGCACCTACTAAGTGGTGGGATTACATTTCTGAAAGAGATGTTGGCAATACTCTCCTAAAACACCTTGTACAGTTATGTCTATAATGTTTGCATCCATATATAACTGACATCATTCCTCATTGTGCACATAATTAAATCACTTAGGTAATAAGTGTCTTCATTCCCATTGTACAGAGGTAGTAACTGAGTAACTGAAAGGGTAAACAGTTCAAGAGAAAAGAGCTTGAAAGAGGAAAAGCTGGGATTTTGAGACCAGGTCACCAGGCTGCAAAGCTGATTAACACTACCCTCTCTTCACACCTGCGCCTGTTCATGGAAGAAGCGTCTGTCCTTAAGGGTTATCTCTCCTGACAGCCTGAATCACAGCTCCTCTGCCCTCTGCCCTGCTGAGGATATTCCACTCCCAGGCTACTGTGTCTCCCAATGCTTTATTTAATATACAGTCTCTTGCACAGAGAAAGTATTTTTTGCAAAAATTTGTGTGCATTGGTGCATGAGGGAAGAAGGAACAGTGAGGAAAACTCATTTTGAAATGTTATGTCCATTTTCTATAATATAGGAATTATGTAAATCGGGAACAATTATGTGCTTACATATATGACATCTTTTGGCTGGCTAAAGTATTTTACGGTAGTAACAGTTAGTTTCTGTCAGCTTGGCACTCATAGCTCAAGTGGTTAGGGTGCCGACCGCATACACTGAAGCTGGTGGGTTTGAGCCCGGCCCAGGCCTGCCAAACAACAATAATGACTCAACAGAAAACACAGCCAGGCATTGTGGCAGGTGCCTGTAGTTCCAGCTACTTGGGAAGCCAAGGCAAAAGAATGGCTTAAGCCCAAGAGTTGAAGGTTGCTGTGAGCTGTGATGCCACAACACTCTAGTGAGGGCAACATAGTGAGACTCTGTCTCAATAATAAAAAAAAAAAATTAGTTTCTGTCATTTCTTTAAGTGCTTCTTAGAAAGAAACAGTTAGCTTTAGATCTAGATAACTAAATGGTGATGGCTGATAAACCCTCCCAGTGAAATGAGATTCACTGTTAGTTGGGGGCGCTCGTGTGTAAATATAGTGACAATAAGCTGAAGCAAGTACTTCTATCTGAGTGCTTTGCACTGTAACATCAGTGTGGAGCTCTGTGTTTGCAATTCTAATAGAGGAGAGGTTCCTTGTGATGGCGTTCCTTGTGTGAAGCCCCCAGTGTTTTCAGCATTGCTTCCTTGGCTGCCACTTTATTATAAACAAAACTTAAGTTTGAGTTTCCTCTGAATAACCAGAAAATAAGGGGCTTTTTTTTTTAAAGAGGCAATAGTTTTATCTACTGAATATTGAATTTTCCAAAAAAAAAAAAAGAACCAACAAAAGGGGGCTTTTTTTTTAAAGAGGCAATAGTTTTAACTATTGAATATTGAATTTTTCAAACCCCTCTCCAAAAAAGGAGACCTTTAGTTTCTGAGAATATCACAACAACCTGCTAAATTTGAAAACCTTGACAATGAACATTAATTCTCCACCAATAAACACACCTGTTATAGTCTTCCACTCTCCAGAGTAGTAAGGTATGCGGCCCTGTCAGAGGTAACTTTTTGTAAGTAGTATCAACCAATTAAAAATTCTGATGGATATCTACTGCACACTTAGTAAGCCTAAGTAGTACAAAAGGCAACACATAAACATTAAAAGTTTTAAAAAGACATTATCCCTAGCCTCAAAGAACTTATTGACAAATACAACAAACTTATACCAAGTATTCAACTCTTTAAAAATAGCAAGCATAATAGAACTTGGTAAGATTTTTGGTAGATTAGAATACTATTTTAAGACTGTACAATACTGATATGGTTTGAATGACAGAATGAAGAATGTTCAGTTTTAATACCATTTTTTGTGTTTCTGATTGAGTTTATTAGGGTCATTTCTTTTTTGTTTTTGTTTAATCTAGTGAGAGGCTTATCACTTTTATCTTTTCAAAGAACCAACTTTTTGTTTTATTAATCTTCTGTATAATTCTTTTGAATTGATTTCATTTAGTTTTGCTCTGACCTTAGTTATCTCTTTTCCTGTGCTGGTTTTGGGATTTGGTTGTTCTTCCTTTTCCAATTCCTTGAGATAGTTCATTATATTGTTGACTTTTGATTTTTTTGCATTTTGGACATAGCATTTCAGGCTATGAATTTTCCTCTTAGGACTGTTTTTGCAGCATCCTACAGGTTTTGGTAATTTGTGTCTCATTTGTCAGTCAGTTCAAAAAATCTTTTGATTTCTACCTTAATGCTCTCCTTCCCCCAATAATCATTCAACGGTAGGTTGTAGAGGGAGGGAAAGTTATGTGGATGCTGAGCCACATGTGTCAGGACTGTGCTGGGAACTGAAAGACACGAGTGTCGGTGTGCAGAGTCTTTCAAGTGTAATAAGAAAGTAGCTTGATTTTGGTGGGCAGCAGGTGCATCTTAGTCATAATAAGAGAAAAATGAGAATATTTAATGCACCATTACACACATGCATCCATGAGAGAAATATTCAGAGATGCACTGTCAATAAAATTCAGAACCCAAGATATTCTATTTTTGGTGTCTACAGGAAAGTAATTATTTTTGTTCAAGGCATATAAGATGTTATACGTCTGATTCTTAGCAAAGGCAGGATGCCCTTCTTTGTTTTTGTTTTGTCATTTGATCAGCAACTCCATGAGTATTAGCAAAAGCAAAGAAGAGAAGATATGAAAAGTACCTAGAAAAACACAAAAAACAAACAAAAAGGGGAGGCTAGCTCTCAATTAACCAGGGCATGTAGTTATTTAATGTAAAGGAGTGTGTGAGGAATGTGATTATTGAGATTTCTGGATTACCCTATTGCATTTCCAGTAAATCCACTACTATTGTGTAGCTAATGTTGGTGTATTAACAGTTTCACAGCTACTAAGCAGGAGAAACAATTGTAATCATTTTTAAAGTATTTGGAACTCAAATCTCATTGCTGTTACCAGTGTACAGCAAACAATTACAGAATGCAAGTTTATTTTTATTTGCATATTTAATTTTTTAACCTACCCTATCCTATTTAATAATAATGACCATTTTTTTTCAACTCATCATGGAAGGTCAATACATATTTATGCTCTTTTAAAGGTATGCTTTACTTGGTGGATAACTGTATTTTCAAAAATACTGCAATTTTTTTGAGAGGGGTAACTAAGTGATTTTTACATTTTTACAAAAGCTTTTTGCAGTCATTCTAATATATTTGCCAAAACCTCCTCTATACTCTGTGTACAGAATTTGACAACATTTATTATCTGCTATCAAACCTTGTCAGTTCTGCAGAGGCAATTATGGTTGACTACAGATATTCAAATTTAGTTTTCTGCTAAGAAGCAGATTTGCACAATAATATACCAGATTGTTAAATTTTACAATGTGGATGGTTATACACAACAGTGCTTAACAAATCACCAGCACAATGAGGTGTGAAATGCAATCCTGTGTCAAAATGACTGTCTCATGTTTTCTACCCTTTGACTTTGTTTTTCAGAATGACTCTTACCTGGTCTTTACTCTTTAACCAGGAGCCTGAAGTGAAAATGAACAGAAAGAAGAAACTAGCTTTGGGGGAGGCTTTGGGGGACATGTAGGAATCACTTTACTTGAGTTAGCTGTATCTTTGCCTTATTTTTGATTTTCAGAATTTGAGTGGCTTTAATTTTGAAAGATTTCTCCAGCAGTGTTAAAATGTCTTAAATCTTTTTAGTATTTTCCTAAAATTTTTCATTAGTACAACAAATGCAATAAAGACTTTAGATTTCTAAAATGTATGTGATATATAGTTTTGAAAGTGAAAAAATCGTATGACTGAAGTGTCTAGATAATATTGATCATTAATAAATATTCGCTGATTATCATTATAAATTATATATATGATGTAATGTTTTTCTAAAATGTCTATCATTAAAAGTATTGCATTATTATTACTGAAAAAATAAACATTAACATTAAATTTTATGAAATATGTAGTATACAGAGAAGAATACCAGTTAAAAACAAAAATTGACTTTAAAGCACTGTCTGTAAACTATAATTCACAAGCAATATTAATGTAAAGAGTGATTGTTTTGAATATTCTATTACTCTAATAATAAAAGTACTATGGTTTTTTCCAATGTTAAAACCATATCTTTATTTTATGTTGCTACAGGTGTCCCAGAAGCTGCCCATAAAGTTGCACCACATAGAGAAAGAGGGGAAATTGTAGTTAAATGTACTTTCATTATATTATTTTATAAAATATTTACAAAATATTATCTACATGTTGGCCACATCTTTGAATAGCTTATGTTATTCAGGATTAATTTTTCTTGGTTCTAAATTTTTGTGACATTCTCTGTGTTTTCATATGCTTAAGTGACATGACAGGATTTGCTGTAAGGTGTTTTTTTCATTAGTACTTTTTAAGTATATATTTTAAGAAATTATTATTTCAGTTGTGATTTTGCACAGTCAAACTGAATGTATACATACAGAATTTTGATGTAAAACATACTTTATGCACACAGTAGACACTTAAGGTTTACTAAACGAATGTACTAACTAAAAAAATGTGGATATTTATTTCAACGATGGAAAAGGCCCCATGCCATTTTAATAAGCTGATCCTCTCTAGAAGAATACCAGCTCTGTCAGTAACACAAACATAATTACCCCTACGGCAATATTTCCAGAAATTGCACCGCTTTTGTCTCACTTTGATGTTTCTGTTTGTGAATTTTCAGGGCGGGTGATTTACTACGGAGCCCCCGTTATAACTTTCTGCCTTCCTGTTGTTCTTCTCATGTTTAGCTCCTTGTGAAGGCAACACATTCTTCTGCCACAGTAACATGTGTATTAATAACACGTTGGTCTGCAACGGACTCCAGAACTGTGTGTATCCTTGGGATGAAAACCACTGTAAAGGTAATGATTACTCCTTACTCATCCAAAAACTTGCCTGCCTGTGGAGTAGGAGAGAAGTTTATACGTACACAGACAACCGCTTAAAAATAGAGCATATCGTGGCTTTTGTGAGTGCCGTGTGTGTGTCTTTTTGTCAATTTGTAATTATTTTTCTGAGCCTTTACTCATCCTGCACTGTATCCAGATGTTTCCTCAGTTGCTGGTGGTTAGCGGACCATCCCTAACACTCGAGTCCTCAGTAAAGACTCCTCATTAGATCCTGCAGAGCTGCAGGAAAAGTGCATTACCTGCTACCATAGCGGGTACCACTCCCTCTGCCGCTACACCACTCACTTATTCCAATTTTTCTTTACTGGACTTTGGACACATACTCTAGAGATAAAATCTACTGAAGGAGCATTTGTCTTTTCAAGTGCTTCCAGCCACTTCAGTTCAGGTTTGCAATGAAAATGCTTTTCCTTCCTTTCCATGAAAACAGCTTGCAACGCCCTCACTGCCTTCTCTAGTCTGGGCACAAGGGTTTGTTTACACAGAAGGAGCTCCTCTCCTCGGCTGCATTGTGAATGTCACATATTTTAGTTAAGTTGAAAGCTGTAACCTAATAACAACCTAAGGTTATGGGGAGGGGGG